GAACGCGGTTTTTTTGGAAACGACCGCTCGGGCAATACTTCTACTTTTTAGTGAACTGGAAATTTGTATTCCAAAAAATTTGCTTTTGTCATTTTTTCACAAAACGAACATTTACCGCAAAAACAAGCGTACTTCAGGCAAAAAACCGGTAAAACAGCTGCTAAAGCCGGTAAAATCAGTCTTCTATAGTAAAACGGTTGCTACCTGAGCCCCCTAAGGCAGACGTTTTCCCGTGGCTGTTACGAGATGTGGATTACGCAGCTGTTCTTAGGGGCGGGTGCCATGGCTGTTCTAAGGGGGACACCAGTGTTCCTATCCTGCACAAAACACTACGGTATCCCTCTCCCAGAGCAATCGCAAAGAGCACCCCTCTCCCCGAACATCTGCAAATGTCAAGCACAAACGAGAACCGAAAGAACGCCGATCCTCCCTCCCCCTGCTCCACCCAACACCGAGCGTCCCCACACCGGGCACCCTCCAACACCGACCGCCCCTCAAACACCGGCCACCTCCCCAACACTTTCCTCTCCCTCCCCTCTCCCCTCCCCCATCATGAACATCATGGACCTCCCCATCATGAACAATCCCCAACCACTCCTACCCCACATATAACGTCACAGTGAGCAGCGTTAGACCGCTCACTGGCGCCTGAGCACTACTCATATCTCATCCTACCGTACCCACAGAATACCGCTTTGAATCGTGCTATGTAATGTAGCACAATATCACCGCTTTGAGAAGACCGGTGTCCAGCGAGGGGGAGGGGGAAGGGCGGAAACATCGAGTGTAGGGGAGGGGCAAGGGCAGGGAAATATGATGGAGTACCTCAAAGTTTGATTCAAAAACGCATAATCGCACCGGCTCGCCTGGTGCGTTCCAGCCTGGGTTTTTTTTGAAAATGACCAGCTTTTCAATGAGTAATCTTTACGCCAAAAGTTTCAGTGCCATTACACGAGAACCACGCGTACATGGAGGCTGAATTTGGAACCTTCAAGTTGTATTTGGATGGAGAATATTCTCCTAAAATCTCAACCTTCCAGCTTTTCTGGTTCCAGAGTTAGCAATTTTCCCGCAAAACTCACACGGGGCCGTACTTTACCAGCAAGCATACCTGCGGGCTGGGTCTGGAATTCTTAAGCTGTATGTAGGCTTGGAGCATCCCTTGAAGATTTCTGTTTCCCAGCTTTACTAGTCCCCGAGTTGTCATTTTCCCGCTGAAAAATTTTCTTTCACGGGGCCGTACGTGAGAACCACATACAAATGGGGGCTGAGTTTGATACGTTTATGCTGTATTTATGTTGGGAACATTCCTTGAAAATTTCAGCCTCCCAGCTTTCCTGGTTCTCAAGCTAATGATTTTTGCGCCAGGAACCATCACGGGGCTGTACTTGGGAACCACGCACGCCTGAGGGCTGAATTTGAAATCTTTGGGTCGCAAAACTTCAGCTTTCTATCTTTTCTCGCTCTCGAGTTATCAGTTTTCCTGCCAAAACTTTCACTCCCGCGTACGCGGAGCTCAGACTTGCATGAGGGTAAGTATCACAGTTCTGGGGTGGCAATTGGTTGGGGAACCCATTAGCAAAATTTTGGCGCTGGAACATGCTTGGCTGCCGAGTTGAAAGACTCGGAGAGACGAACACACACACAAACATAGAAATACACAAACATACACACACAGACAGGGTCGGTGCAATATGCATTTTTGCAATTTGCATATTGGCAAAAACGCATAAAAACATTAAGTGAACAAATAAACTATTGGAATATTTTTGGGAATGTTGTGACGGGGCGAGGGAGAGGCAGGAAGAAGATTGGAACTACAAACAAGGCACTAGGAATGGGTGGTGTTTTTTATTGGGGCTTATCCATAATTTCTAACAACGCCAAGTTTAATGACAACCCGTCTGAATGTTAAATTTTTAATGAATTTTAGCGCATTTCAGCAGCTCTTAGCGCTTTTCGACCAAAAATCCATTTCTTTATGACAAAACACCAGACTTCGTCAGTTGCATGTATCCGTCTTTACCCTCAAGCGCCTTTTAGGCTAAGATGGTGAACTGCACAAAAACTTAAGTTCTTTTTATCCCTCATAGGTACCACAGCCAATCTGAATTTTGAGTTATCGCGTAAGCAAGAATTTTAACTTTTGATACTCCTCGTCGATGAGCTGTTGCCTCACTCTGCTGCGCTCGAAATTCAATTCAGGGCTTTTAACTATCTTAAATTTCACGTTTGATACAAAATGAAGGAACCGAAATTCTAAGGATCAAGAAATATTTGCCTTTTGTAGAAATGCGAGGAGGAATAATGCCGGAGCCAACGCGGCTTTGCGAGGGCACGTGATATCTTGCTGATCCTCCCCATACTTTCGATGCGGACTGCGACGATGGCTTTTCCTGAATAAACGCACTGGAGTAAGAGAAAATAAAAGAGTTTCAGCTTTTTCAAACGTCATTTCGCTAAAATTGTATCTATTTCCCACAGGAGTTGTGAAATAGAAAAGTAGACACGTTATATGAACTTGTGAAGTATGGTACCTGTGAGGCCGAAGATTGCGCCACCGTATCCAGCAGCAATTGAGATCTTGGAATGGCGGGCGTTCCTCTCGAATTCACTGGCTGTAGTGCTTGAATCGGTATCGATTTTGGTACAGGAGCGGCTAGCTGTGGCAGTTGTGCATCATTTTGCGTGCTGCGGAACTAGAAACGAACGGGTCAGAATACGAATAGTAAAATCAAAAGGTTTCTTCCCCAACTTCAAGACTGCTTGAATAATCGCGAATAGGAAACGCAGCACCTCGTTCTAATGATGTTACTTAGATGCTCTTACGGGCTTCTTCGATCGTCCGTTACATGTCTCCAAGTTTTTTTCAGCAGTCAAAAAATTTCTAATTTCTCCTGACATAGGCTGGGGCTCCAGGTGTGTTCTAAAGATTTCAAATTCAGTTACCGCAAAGGCTTGCGTTACAAGTACAATCACATCAAAGTTCGCATTCGACGTTGCGTCAGCTCGAAAATTAGTCGGAAAACTACAACTGTAATTTTGCCAGAATATTCATTGTCCAAGTGGATACCTCACACATCCTTTACGCTTATATTTTAATCAGTTACGATTTATGGAGAGGTCTCCACATACATGCAGCTGATAACTTGCTCAGTTTCCCTGAAAAGACTACACTGCTTAGCGGTCAAACCGACATCCGATCCACTTTGTGAAGGGAGCGCCATCTTAACGGTTGTCTCATCAAAAGCAATCGATGAGCTTTAGCCATTTCGAGTTTTCGTCCTTGGTGTGTTGTTGAACATCACTACCTCATGTCAAACGCTCATGCTCCTAGATCAAGATGAGATGCCTCACAAATCAAGAAACCATGTGTGAGGGCTCAAACAACGTGTGCGAGTTGAAAAAATGTCTTTTCAAAAACTGCACAGGAGGTCGCTCGCTGAGGACTTCCCTCACCACGTCCGGAACCCTCCCAAAAAGGCATAGAAGTTCCTTTTGTAAATTGATTAGCACTTGATGAAAGGTCGTGGGTAGAATTTATTACTTCTTAAAATGACTAGTTACTGAGAATAAAGGGCACCTTTGAAGCTGAAGGCTGTACTGACAATTCCAGCAGACGATCTGATCCTGAACTATCATCTGTTTCTTCCCAGCTCGCTGACAACAGACTATGCAGATATCGAGCTGTTTCTGGCGTCCATTCCGGCGAAATGCAGCTACGTGAATTCAGCTGCTGGGCTCGTGGATAATGCCACGCGCCATGGTCCTGAATGGATAAATAAAAACAACCAGGAAACCGCAAGTTCATTTGTACAAAGAAAAGTCTGCTTGTTATCCGCCAGATTCCACTCTTCTTGTTAAGCAGACGGAGGGGTCCTTTCACAAGTTCAGAGAGGAGAACAAGAAAGGAGAAATGAATGTGATGGATGGCGTGAAGGAGAAGGGCTGTGAAGATTGCCGTAACCGGAAGGATTGAAATTTCTTGTTAGAGGCTGAGGAAAAATTGTACCTGTGAAGTTGAGAGCTGCCCCGGAAGGCTCGCTAGTTATGCGTTTTTGCGTATATGCAAATGCGAAAACGCATGTTGCGATGACCCCGCTGTGCGTATGTGCGCGTGTATGTGTGTGTGTGTGTGTGTGTGTGTGTGTGTGTGTCCAGGTATTTCAACTCGGTACCCAAGCAATCTCCAGCGCCAAAATTTTGCGAGTGGGTTCCCCGGCCAACTGTTTTCTAGGGCCGTGGTACCAATCCTCAAGCACGTCTAGGCCCCGGGTACGAGAGCCTCGAAGTTTTGGCGGGAAAACCGCTAACTTGGGAATCAGAAAAGCTAAAAAGCTGAAGTTTTGGGGTTACGTCCCCCGCCCATGTAGAACTCAAAGATTTTAAATTCAGCCCCCAGGTATGCAGGTTACCTGCGTACGACCCCGTGAGGGTTTCTGGCGCGAAAATCGCTAGCTTGGGAACCAAGAAAGCTAGGGGACTGAAACTTTCAGCAAATATTCCCAGTTCATCTACAAGTTAAATTTATCAAATTCAGCCCCACTATGTGTGGTTGCCATGTACGCCCCGTGAAAATTTCTGGCTGTAATTTGGGTAACTCGGGGACTGAGAAAGCTGGGAACCTGGGGTGTCAAGGGAATGTTCCCTGTCCAAGTATAGCGTAGACAATTAACTTCACGAAATTTGAGGATTGGTATGTCAGAGGTTTCTAGCTAGCGGAATTTCGAGTGATCTTATTACAGCACGAAACACTGCAAAAATGCATGATCGCACGGGCCCGCCCATTGCGCGTCGCCAATGATTTGTAAATTCCGGAAGCGGAGTCCGAAGGATTCCAATTTATTGGTTGCATTGCTCTTTGATCCATTTTCGCTTCTGACTCCCGATCAGATAACAGATTATTACACTGATCCTGCAGAGTCATTGTAGCTTCACAAAAATTTATTAGTTGGCTAATAAAAAAATGCAAATGAAGGAGAACTGACCGGGGGATGTGGCTATGTGTTTTTTTTCCAAAAGCTGCCGTCAGCTCACTGCTTGCTAGATGCGTTAAAACCTGTCGCTACGGTTATTTGGCTTATGTCTACGATGATAATATAATTATTCTAACCAGAAGTAAAACTTGCAGTTACTGTAAAACAAGCGTAGCAAAAACTTACGTGGCCATTCTCCCGATTACTGCCGCTATTGTCATTATAATGATTGAAGTGACTATTGGCATTAACAGTATTTACAAGCGGGTTGGAGTAGGTGGGCTCGGCATAGCTTGGACCGGCGTTTGCTTGCATCGACGTTCGACCGCTGCACATCGGATAATCGCAATCCATTCCACCCGCAGTATCATTATCTTTCGTTCTCCAGTTAGTAAACACCGGTTCGCTCGATGCCTGTGGTAGTGGCTGAAAATTTTCTTGATGTTGCGGGTAAAATGCCGTTTGTGCTAGCCATGGCTTTTCTTGCGATTCTCGAATTGAGTGAGTTGGTTGCATGAGAGCGTCGGACTCGATATTCTGCGACGGTTTTTCGAGTAGTCCCCATACTGAAGGATTTTGCGAATGACCACTGTCTCGCTGCTCGCCTTTGAAGTAGGCAGCATATGCATCAGGAAATACTGGAGCATGTTCTGCTGAGGACACTCTGAAAGCTGTCGTACGGAAATCAGGAGTCTCTGTTTGGTGGTGAGCACATAGGAATTCGGGGTGAATTGGTGGCTGCTCTTTCGAGAGCGATTGCATTCGCTGATCCACTAGGCTCCCACTGTTAGGAACATTTTGTCCGTAGAAATTTGTTGGATTATTTGGTTCTGAGTGTCCGAAGCGATTTTCCAAGAGACCGTAATGACCTGAGGCACGGCGCTGGTTCTGCAAGTCAAGTGCACTTGCTGCATGGTACAAATTACGCGCTGTGTCCTGCAATAAAAATAAATATCGTTCTTGCGATCAGATATAATTCTGATAGAAAGTGACGGCCAGTCGGGAGTCCCCGAACTGATGGAACACGTGCACTGAACAGGAAATGGGTACTAACTGGAGTTGTACAGCCCAGTTCGAAGGGTCTGACACAGACACTCCTGGGATACGATTCACACTAATAGTTTGGGCGGTCTTGATGTACTTGATGCTATGTATTGAAAAATTGTCGCCTGCTGTGGTACAGAGTGGGCGTTGTTTGTGGTAGCAGCTCTAGATATTTTTGGTAGGGTCTCGTCTGGACCTTGCGGTAGCACTCTCAGGCAGGCAACGTAATAGATAACAGGTCATGATTTGAAGAATCAGCAGAAAGTGACGATTACTGCCACTTCCCGGCCCACTCCCTAGCAGGGCGATACCCGTAAAGCTTTAAGAGCGAGTGGCTGCTGCAGCAAAATGAGTTAGTCCAGCTAGTTTCACGCACTTTGGCTTCTCACAGAAGTGAAATTCATTTGCAGGCTTTCCTTTAAACTTTACTGGACAATGTTATCGATGAGTAAGTGGCAAGAGGAGCGATCTTAAGCAGGCAGTATCCTGCACTTATCAGCATTTCTCATGCTGGAGGAGGAAAAGGAATATGGTAGATAAAAAGAACATTTTCCATTTAATGGTAAGTTCTTTCAAAGTAACCTAGCTGTTCACTGAGTAATTTTCCGCCGAAACTTTTCAGTGCATACACGTGAGAACCACCCATACCTGAAGGCTGAATTTCGAATATTTAAGTTGCGTTTGGACGGACCCCTTTCAGCTTTCCAGTTTTTTTTGGATACCGAGTTAGCAATTTTCCCGCCATATCTTTCATGTACTCATACGTAAGAACCACGCATATCTGAAGACTGAATCTGAAATGTCTAAATTGTATTTGGACAGGGGGAATTCCCCAAAATTTCATTTTTCTGGTTCCAGCTTTTCTGGCCCTCGAGTTAGTAATTTTCTCGCCAAAACTTTCATACGCCCTTAAGGTGAGTATCACGCATACCTGGAGGCTGAATTTGAAATCTTTAGCTCATAAGTGCATATGGGATGTCTCTGCAAAGTTTCAGTCCCTTAATTTGTCTACTTCCTGAGATCTTTCTCCCGCCAAAAAACTTGCACATTTTCGTAGACGGCATCCAAGTGTAGGCGGGCGATGATATTGAAACGGGAGGGTTGCATGTAATGTGGACACATGCTCCCAAAGTTCCAACCTTCTAGCTTTTCTGGTTCTCAAGTTGAGAGTAGGTGACAAACACAGTTCCTTGCCAATATGCGTTTTTGCTGTGCGGCGCTACAGCAAGCAAAAACGCATTTTGTCGAGAGGCTGCGTGTGTGTGTGTGTGTGTGCAAAGCGAGTGCATTTTGTCACCCATTTTCAACTCGGCAACCGGGAAAGCTGGGGGGCTGAAACATCGGATATATGTTCCTATCATCC